TCAAATCATAAAAGAGGGATTTCTCCTCTAATAATTAATTTGTTGCACTGTGTTCCAAAATCCCACCTTCCATCAAATAAAATTAATTTCCATATATTAATTGCGGTAATTTATACAAGGCCAAGGTTGGGGTAAAGGTTTGACTCATGTGTTGTGAGGAAATTCAAAGTTGATTGGGTTGGAAATATATTAAAATAGATAGAAAATTGGATACAAATTGGTATACAGGAGGGGTACAGATGAAGATAGAGATGGGATAAGGTGTGGATACGCTAAGGAACCCCCATACTTAAGCATGAAAAATGATATTTTTCTGAAATACCAATTGAGAGGAATCACTCAATAGTCTTGGAATGACCCTAATGGGTTGAAATTATTTCCTTGTGGAATTCTTCAAGGTTATGACTTGAGCAGATCACCCTGACTAAAGGAGGGCCTTACAATATTTAAGGGGGGCCTCTTCCCCCTATTTGGGACCATTCCTCCTCAGTGATTATTTAGTATATTTAATTTATATGCTACAAAGGCATCTTCATTCTCTTCTTATAATTAAGAGGACCAGCATTTCCCCCTTATTATTGTATTATAATGAAAAATCCACCCTCAATAACTTATTATAAATTGATTGAGAAGACCTGTGTTGAAGTCTAGGTAATCCTTCTGAGTATTCATATCCATTATCAGGAAGCTGGTAGCAGGGTAGTAACCTGTGCTTTTCTCTTAAAATTCATTATAAGTGTTTAAGAGCCTTTTCTTTATTACCAATTTTTGATTGATATTCCTGTCTTGGGTACTTTTTAAATTAACTCATTTTTTGTGAAGTGGTCTATACTTGGCACACCACTTTCTGTGGAATAGAGCCAGTATATCTGACAAGAAAGATATATTATGGGGTTCTGGATCCTATAAGGTTGATTGAAGGATGAGGGAAAGGTCCCTGTAGTATAAATATGAGGTCTGTGATATGTAAATGATAGGATCTATACATATGAGAGCTCACATGACTGCTCATAACAGTTGGTTGTGTTGGAGGTGTGGAATTTGGATGGATACATTCACTGATACATGTTGTAAATCCAATGGGGGGAAGATTAGCACATCAAAAGTGCTGTGGTGGGCCATGGGTGAGGTCTGTAGTGGTGTCTTTACAGGATTGTATCCTGTCTTTGAGCTGCATGCATTTTTCAAAGTGCAAAAAACTGTGAGCAAATTTGTGTCACCTATGGACTTCTGTACCTTTCTTTTCTGAGGAGTGTTGAAATCCAGCTACTGTGAAGTTCAAGTAACAGCTATAACCTTTGTATTACTTGGACCTGTTTATCTTCCTTCTTACACCACTCTTTTCTGTGATCTCTCACTCCAACTTTCTCACTTATCTCATAACTTAATCTTCCTTCATCTCAAATATCTCTCCATTAAAAAACCTTTCACCTATCACTTCTACTCTGAATAAAGTCCTTCACTCACCATCAATTCAATCTTGACTCTATATCAACTTGAATCAATAACTCTAATAACTCTCAGCACACCCTCAAGCCCTTGAGAAGACACCTATCAAAATTTGATCATTGTATACTGACTTCATCAATCTCTATGTACAGTTCCTGTGACTGCTTTCCTTATCCTGTGTCATTTAAATTTAGGTTGTCTCTTATCTTTTCATTTATTCCCTGGTGGTAAATACTTCTCTATTGTATTTCTTTTTTTCTTTCAGTTCTCATCTCTTCCTATTTTGTCTTTCCTCTGACTAGTCTTGTTTTTCTTAGTCTAGCTTTTAGTTATCAATCATAAATCCACAGATTGTTCAAGGTGCATTATGAATAATTGAAAAGAAGGTGTGCAAAATTTGAGAAGAAAAAAAAACAATACTTCTCAAAGAGCTTGGGAAAATGTTTTTGCTTGTTATGGAAAGAAGTTCTTTTTTAGTTGGCTTTTTTCTTGAAAATAGTGAGGGTTTTTTGTGTTAAAAATGGGCCTTTAAAAACTGCCTTGCTGGTGGGTCATATTTGGGCAGTTTCAAGGAGAACAAAGCCAAAAGAAGTAAAAATGGAAGACATGTAAAAGGTGACGAAAAGAGAAGAGAAAAATAATGTTGGCCAATGGTAAGCACTACCCCAATGGTAAACTAGTCCAACTAACTCCTTTTGGCTGTTTTTTGACTCACTCAAATCTCTATAATTAAGAAGCCGTTATTTGTGTGCTATGTGAAAATGAGCCTCCCTAAAGTGGTGAGCTATGTAACACATGTCCACCACAAGACTATAATCACAGGCTTGGGTGAGCATAATTGACCAAACTTGTCATTTCTGAGCACTTATCTTATGACACTTGGGTTAAAAATGTTAAAGTTCTCAATGTCAACTGGGCTATTAATGGGTCCATGCCCACTTCTGATGCAACCTGGGCAACACAGCCCAAACCCTCCCATCCCAAACAGACAGGCAGCTGACAACCCAGCTCCGGCATTGTTTTGGTGACAAGACACAAAAGGGATGCGCCGTCGGGGATTCGAACCCCGGACTAAAGCTGATTCCGGTTGGAAGGCTTCAATGCTAACCACTACACCAACGGCGCTGGATGCACGCATCCGCACTAGCAACCCAGTCCATACCAAAAAAGAAGAAGTTTAACGTGCAGACATGGAGCGAACACTTGGAGAAGGAGCATGAGCTGTATATGGTGTGATGGGACAGCGGATAGAAACGGCCGTCCCCTCATACCGCTGGCGAGAGGCAAATAAGCTCAACAGATGATGATCATAGGGTATGGACATGTCATGAGAGAGAGTGCAGTTTGGAGCTGTTATAGAAGATTCGCAGTTGTCTTCCTGTTCTGGTGTATGTGGTTTGTATGAGCGGCACTCAGGTGTGTACAGTGCGACAGTAAGCTCAACAAACAGGGAAGGGCTGTTGGTAGATATTCGTCTGGAAGTAAGAGAGACATGAGAGTGTGATGAGCGGAACAAGCAGAATGAAGAGAGGATCAAAAGACGAGCAAAGTTTCACGCACACAATTCCGTGGAACATCGACTGGAAAGCCAGCAGTTTCGTAAGAGGCGATTGGTCGATTAATCAAAGACGGACTTGGGTGAAAGAGGGCCACGAGAGGAACAAAAATAAGGGTACATTTGAAAGAATTGATAAGGGAAAATGAATGCAGAAGGAGGAGAAATCTACGGCATGCATGGCTGGGCGTCAGAGGTGAGAAGGTGTTTCGATTTAGATATGCGTTGCGTGAGTCTATTATAAAACAAGGGTGGCCGATGAGGGATTGGAGGGCCGAGGGATTACTACAGCGACGGTCGTTTTAATCGGAAAGCAAAGGTTCACATCAAGTGAGTCAGTCGTAAGATCAACAGCGGGCGGAGAAAATGACAGCTGCTTGGATCAAAAGATATGGAAAGGCTGCTTAGAAGAACGGGGAGAAGGCCACGTATGACGATATAGATCAGGGTTGTTGCGGATATGTTTAGAAACGTGCAGACAAAGGAAATGAGGTGTCCGAGGCTCGGCTCGGGGAAATGTGAATGTGAAGATGCCCTGAAGAATGTGATACCAAGCAAGAAACGAGTGCAAAAAAGGACGAAAAAAAGGGGGAAACGAAGACTGGAAATGAAAAGAAAAAAAAGAGAAGGACTTACGAGTTCATCACGTCTGCCGGAAAGAAAGCCATCCAAGAAGGATTCAAGGCCAAGGTATTGGACGACAGCGACTTGAGAGATGAGGCTCCATTCGAGGATAGTTTGGAGATCTAGTGCGGAGCGATCGTCGCGGATGGTATGCCAAACTCGTGGGAAGGGGGTGGCTATCAAATGCAGGATTGGTACTCCTTCCTGCAAGAACGGTAAGTGATCATCTGTCGTTCATTCCCATTAATATTGCGTGTGCAATTCAGTAACCAGAGTTGCATAAGATTGGGAGCAACGATGAAGACACAATTAATAACGTGAAACTGACCCGAGATAGTCCCATAAGCAATGGCCTGGCCCGGGGAGCGTTTGACGAAGAAAGGTCTCCGGTTTCCGAGGTCTTGGTGAAAGTTGTTGACATTGAGATGATTGGCAAGAGGCTGGAGGTGGGAGAATAGATTGAAGGTAGATTTGCGCATCAGACGCTCCTCGACTTTCTGGAACGAGTCGAATAACCATCCCGTCTCCGCGAAAAAAGGGTGGATCTGGGGGCTCGGACTTCCCAGTAAATCATACAAGATGAAGCTCTCAATTTGATCGATCGATCGTACCCTTTTCATCGTCGCTGTCGGCGTGCGTAAGGGCTCGGTCCATTTTTTCGCTAGAGCCCTTATCGAACAAAAATAAAAATAAAGTGGCCAAAAGTGTCAGCCCACACATCCTGAGTTCATGAGAAATGCAAAAACAAAGAAGATGATGATTTTCTGGAGATTGACCTTGCACCATACAAAGAGTCCGAGTCGGACCATTCCTTGAAGGCTTCCTCTCCGTCTAGAAAAATGATCTGTAGGGTGACCCGTTCGGAGGTCGTTCCGGCGTGACCGAGCTTGATATCATGTGCCAATTTTTTGTCGAGTAAAGGGGTTAAAGCCTTGGCAACCTCGAGGATGATAGCGACGGGAGCGGCGCTATCGGTAGCGCCGACGAACTGGTCGTCGGGCGGATGAGGGAAGAACTTGCTATCGATATGTGCGGCCAGGACGAGCCTTTGAGGGGCGGTAGGGTCGTGGGTGAAAATTTGGTTGATGAAGGATTTGGTGCCATACGGCGTCGAGTCCTGGAAGGAATGTTCCTCCAACGTCCAGGTTTGGATTTCCCTTAGAGGGACGGGCGAATACGAGGGCGGCTCGTGAGAATTAACATAGAGATTCGCTTGGACTGGCACCTCTAAGCGGGTGGAAAGCGATCGAAAGTGCTGTGCAAAGAGCGTCCGACAGTCACTCAGGTTTTTGCTTTGGACCGGCCGGGGGATGAGGATCTTGGACAAGAGTGAATCCGGGTTATAGAAGTTGAGGACAGGGTCCGGGTTGGAGAGATTGAAGATTAGATTAATCGAATGGTCCAAGACTTGAGTGTGATAGTTATCATTCTTAATTGAGCTTGAGGAGACCGTGAAAGAGGCTGGCGGATGGTTGAGCAGGCTCAATAGTATCGTTAGACAGGCCAAAGCTCTCGAGAGGTGATGCGTGGCACGCCTGTTGTCGAGACATCCTTCTCGCGGAACTTCGCGCAGCCGATGAGGTTTGGCCTTAAGGGGGTGCTTGCTACTGAGATTCATTAAAGCCATATACGACCGCAAGGGTTCGGTGACAAGGAAAATTCCAACGACTAGAATAGTAGTGGGTACTCCTCCCTCCGGTGAGGAAGCAAGCCTGGATGATGAGTGCGGAAAGAAAACGAGGAACCCATGTTCAGCATCCTGAGGCCATCACGCCATCCATCAGACAACGGCAACAAAAGCATCGACTCACATTGTTCAGTTCTACTTTTCTGTTTCGTAATTTTCAGTAGAAACACTCGGCCGGTTTGTAAACACTCCGCTGCGGCTGCGCATGGTTACTTGCTCGGTCGAGTTGGTAACAAAGCCTCGCGAACTTAACACAAGTCCCCCTGGGACTTGCATGTAAAACCTGATTTACAGCGTAAGTCCCGGGGCTCAAACAGGGGAAATAGTGGTGATATTGCTTGAAATGCATTTTACGGTGCCTTACGCCAGGCCCCAAAGCATATCTTTGGGACCATTCAACACGTCTTGATCTCCTGTACATGTTGATCTCTTTCCTATATGCTTCCTGCCCAATGGCCGTGCAGAGACGGTGTTTGGGACCTGGCTCTGGCCTGTATTCTTCTGGCTTTCCTATTTCATGCATGTAGTTTCAATAGATCAGGGGATGAAACACTTCGCAATGTTATAAAATCACAAAATAAAAAACCATCAGCAGCACAAGGAAATGAGGATTACGGTAAGCAGTGAGCCTCTGGGGATGAATAATTATAATTGAAAGAATTAAAAAATTCATAATCAGGCCTAAAAGCAACAGGGGCTCAGGCCAAACTAGCAAATTTGCATGTAAGCCTCTCTGTGAGACAGAGACCCTGCAGGGCCTTGCATCTCACAGGGAGGCCTTGTTAGCAACGGTGGGCCGGTTACACTAACAGTAGTGTTAGTGTAGCGTAGTGTTAGCTT